TTACGAACACACCTCTGGAACCAACTCACTCGTAAGTAGAGGAGCCCCTGTACAGGAGTCAGCCTCGATTTAAAGCTTTCGTGACTGCAGGGATTCATCTTCTTGGTTCTTTCGGTAAAGTCACGTAGAAGGAAAATATAAAAAAATATATAAAATATAAAAATAAAACAATTAAATAATTCTCACGACGTTTCGGCCACAACGCAAGCAGCCGTCTTCAGGTGGAGAACAGGTCTGTCGAGACTGCCTTCTCGACAGACCTGTTCTCCACCTGAAGACGGCTGCTTGCGTTGTGGCCGAAACGTCGTGAGGATTATTTTATTATGTTTTATTTTATATTTTTTATATTTTCCTTCTACGTGACTTTACCGAAAGAACCAAGAAGAGGAGTCAGCCTGTCTGGGAACCAAGCGCACGTTGGGACGCAGGTGGCATGGTAACAGCACCGCTTTGACAGTAGCAGCTCATCCGAACCCATCCAACGTGGGACCAAAATGTGCATTCAATCGACTCGGCTTCAGCTACGGCAAGCACGGGGTCGCTCTGAACATCAAACAAAAACCCGAGGATGGGAAATTCTCAAAACTGGAATCTTATGAATGCGCGCGGTACCACGAGCGCGTGTGGTAAACACACGGATCGGGGTCATGGATCAGTGTCACGGATCGGGGTCACGGATCAGTGTCACGCATCAGTGTCACGCATCAGTGTCACGGATCAAGGTGTCACAGATCGGAGTGTCACGGATCGGGGTCATGGATCAGTGTCACGGATCGGGGTCACGGATCAGTGTCACGCATCAGTGTCACGCATCAGTGTCACGGATCAGGTGTCACAGATCGGAGTGTCACGGATCGGGGTCATGGATCACTGTTACGGATCAGTGTCACGGATCGAGGTGTCACAGATAAGAGTGTCACGGATCAGTGTCACGAATTGGGGTCACGTATTGGGGTGTCACGGATCGGAGTGTCACAGATAAGAGTGTCACGGATCAGTGTCACGGATCGGAGTGTCACGCGGCCCAAGCCGTTGACGCCCCCACTACTTTCTCTCTTCGACCAAAGCTCACAGCGGCTACTGCTGCAGCGTCGACAGGAGACGATCTAGAAGACTTACTACCCTGGCAGACTCCCCCCATCATCATCTGGTCTCCGCCGTGGTGGCCGGACTCCTGGAGACCACTCCCAATGCCCCCATCTTGGAAACCGGCCCTCCCTGTCAGAGGTCGCAACCGGGTACCCGATACCCGTACCTTACCCGACACCCGGCTACCCATACCCGGCCGGGTATGGGTACCCGTTCGACCCTGGTGCGGCCGGGTACGGGTACGGGTAGACCGTGAGTCACCGGTGAGTAACTGTTTGTCACTCATTTCCCAACGTCTCGTCTCTTCTCACGATTCAAGTTCCTAGAATCAACCCACCCGCGCCTGCAACATGGCTTCATCCCAGAGGTCGCAATCGGGTACCCGTACCTGTACCCTACCCGATACCCGGCCGGGTACGGGTATCAGGTAGGGTACGGGTACCCATTTGCGACCCTGGTGCGGCCGGGTACGGGTAAGGAATCAAAACCCGTTTGCGACCTCTGCTCCCTGTCCACCGTCCCACACACACCTATTGCTGGAAATCAGTGGCAAAGCTGCTTTACGGCTCATGGGATTCCTCCAGTATGAATAAATATTCTGATTCTGATGTTCCTACGTTCCTCGACGAGTGCTAAGGATCCAGGTGGTGAACTTTCACTGACCGGTCACCCACGATGACCGCTCACCGCAGCGTTCGCTACGTAACATCGCAAGTTCAACGTTGTCACTTTAGCCACGATTGAAATAAGATAGCTATTACACAACTTAAAAAAGGTACACTTATCAACCGTTACGACCAATACTGTGCACAGTGTTCAATGTAGCTCCCAAGGTATTTTACGGCTGCACCACGTTTCACGCCGCATGCTGGCGCGAAACGTCGGGCACGCCGCGCAGAAAGCAACACACGGAACGACCCGGAAAACCGCATCGGAGAACTCAGCAGCGGCAGCAGCAGCAGCAGCAAAACCACGAAAAACTCACGCGGTCAAATTATATTCACGTCCCGAACAATTCAACAAAACGTCGCGACGAACCCAACAGACATCTGTTTTCATCTAGCGTTGTTGGGGAGCGGTGGTGCAGCGGTTAGCGCATTGCGCTACGAAGCCGGCGGCCCGAGTTCCGATTTCTGCGCACGGGCAACCCCAGTGACGATTACCTGAACAGGTCCCGGGCCTCCCCTAGGTACCTGGTGCGGTGTGTAAACATTGTCGCTGGGGAGACAAAGGCGGCCGGGCGTGGTGCTGGGCACCAATCCCCTCGTGTGCTGTTCCAGCCTTTATAGGTGCTCGCTAACAGCACTTGCCCCAGCAGTAGTAGCACAAGTCACTACATAGGCTATGGGCCCCGCGCTTTCAAAGGCTCCGCGCCAAATGCTTTCAAGCTATCAATTTCGGTTCAGCGATTCTGCACTTGCTCTGTTACTATAGTACTATACCGCCTTCAACTTTTACGAACGACTGGGTGTTTAAGGTTAGCGATTTGTCGTATTATCTGGCTGTATGGCAAGTGAAAAAATACAATTACTTTACTATGCAAGTTAAAATTTCGTGTATTAATATTTACGTATTTTATTTATTTACTTAGGGCCCCTTTATAACATGCAACAGGCCCCACACTAGCTTAATCGGGCACTTGCCATCACGGCGCCATCAAGGTAACGTAACAAGGTCCCTTCCTACGGACTCTCTTATGTAAGTGTGTACGTTGAACTTCTTTCGAATCATACGTAGCCAACCATGCTAATGGAAGGTGTGAAAGACAACAAACTGGGTTTCTGTGTGAGTCTATGGGTCTCTGTGTGAGTCTATGGGTCTCTGTGAGTGTCTATGGGTTTCTGTGTGAGTCTATGGGTTCTGTGTGATTGTCTATGGGTCTCTCTGTGAGTGTCTATCGGTCTCTCTGTGAGTGTCTATGGGTCTCTGTGTGAGTTTGTGTGAGTCTATGGGTCTGTGTGAGTCTATGGGTTTCTGTGTGAGTCTATGGGTCTCTGTTTGAGTCTGTGGGTCTCTGTGTGAGTGTCTATGGGTCGCTGTGTGAGTTTGTGTGAGTCTATGGGTCTGTGTGAGTCTGTGGGTCTCTGTGTGAGTCTATGGGTCTCTGTGTGAGTCTATGGGTCTCTGTGTGAGTGTCTATGGGTTTCTGTGTGAGTCTATGGGTCTCTGTGTGAGTCTATGGGTCTCTGTGTGAGTCTATGGGTCTCGGTGTGAGTCTATGGGTCTCTGTGTGAGTCTATGGGTCTCTGTGTGAGTCTATGGGTCTCTGTGTGAGTCTATGGGTCTCTGTGTGAGTCTATGGGTCTCTGTGTTGAGTCTATGGGTCTCTGTGTGAGTCTATGGGTCTCTGTGTGAGTCTATGGGTCTCTGTGTGAGTCTATGGGTCTCTGTGTGAGTCTATCGGTCTCTGTGTGAGTCTATGGGTCTCTGTGTGAGTCTATGGGTCTCTGTGCGCGTCTGTGTGTGTATGTTGAACTTCTTTCGCACCGTACGTAGCCCGCCGTGCTTATCGGAGGTGCGGCTTTCGTGAACGCGTATCCCAGTAGAACACACTTAACGCACTGGCCCGCAAGATAAACACACGCCTGCTAGCCGCCTGTGTCTAATGGGGGGTGTTGAAGCAGCTGCATCGTTTCGGCCGCGGTGCTGCGATGAGATTATTTGAGATTGATTCGTCTGCTATACGTGTACACGTGACGATAAGCCACTTTCGCCGAGGCTATCATTTGTGGCCAGGTCGCTTCTGAGAAAGAGCTACACAGCTGAGTGGACTTTAGCCGGTAAAATAAGTGTTTAGTTTTTATTTGTAGAGATTTGTTGCGATTTGTTTTACCTTTCCCATAGTTTTGCAACTCCTATCGCGTTCTTGTGTTGTTCTGATCCGCCCCGACTGGACATCTGTGAAAAAGCGCTTTATAGCTCTTTGGATTCCTCCAGTATGAACAAACATTCCGATTCCGAAGTTTCTAAACCCGGCTTGCTGGCGAAAGGGCCTCCCAACTCTATAGCTCTGTAGAAAGTGGGAGCTTGGCCTACTCTTCCACGCCGGCCAGACGAGGTGGCAGCAGCCGCACTTCACCGCCACCATATCCTTAGGCTTTTTTTTACTTTACCGAAAAAACCTAAGAATATGAATCCTTGCAGTCACGAAAGCTTAAAATCCACGCCACCATATCCGCAACCTGTCGTCGGGGGTGACCGTGGCGTACACGTTTAGATTATTAAGCACCGATTGTTCACGTTATCCTCGACGGCCGTAGGGCTGGCGCGAAAACTAATTTCTCCATGCGGCGATTATTATTAGACATTTTTTTCTCCAGATTATCCGCAAAATGTTCACGGGTAAGGAGGACGTCATCGGCGAATTCACCACGGAAAAAAACAGGAGCCCTGCATTTGTAGAGTTTTACAACAACAACAACAAAAAATCTCCCGAATTCCGTGGAGCTGATCTCCTGCAATTATTCCAGCATCTGCAAGGCCGCACCTCCGATTAGCGATTAGCGCGGTCGGTTGGCGACGAACGGTGCGGAAGAAGGTCAACATACGTACAAACTAACCCCTCTCAACCTTCATTGTGCCATATCTGCAGCCAAACAAGTGAACCCGTGCACTCCGGTAGCCTTACCAGCAGGGTTCAGTGTTTTACCACCGTTACGGCCACTTATACTGAGGCAGTTGCTTTCTCCATTTCTCTTCAGTGTTCTCAGACTTAAGACTTTATCTCTAAACTCAAAACCATTTTTTTTCTACTTCACCAGTTTAAGGCCCACGTTGAGTTGTGTAGCCGCTCTTTTTCAGAAGTGACCTGGCAATCACAAATGATAGCTCAACGAAGTGGCTTATCTCGTGCAAATTTACAGCGGCCAAATACTACAGAGGCACGTGATGTTGATTCTAAATGTGGGGGGGGGGGGGGGGGCGGGAAAACGAAGGATCCGGAGAAAAAAAAATTCCACGTGACCACGGGGAGAGCATGCGAACTCCAAATATACAGCAGCAGGCGGCAGGGCCGGGATCGAACCCACGACCTCCTGTATACCGGGCGAGGTGGTTAACATCTCTCTTAGCCACCGTGATGATGAGAGAGAGACACCGCGAACTCCAAATATGCAGCAGGCGTCAGGGTCGCAATCGAACCCACGACCTCCTGTATACCAGGCGAGGAGGTCAACATCTCTTAGCCACCATGATGATGAGAGAGAGACACCGCAAACTCCAAATATACAGCAGGCGTCAGGGTCGCGATCGAACCCACGACCTCCTGTATACCAGGCGAGGTAGTTAACATCTCGTAGCCACCGTGATGATGAGAGAGACACGCGAACTCCCAAATATGCAGCAGGCGTCAGGGTCGCGATCGAACCCACGACCTCCTGTATACCAGGCGAAGAGGTCAACATCTCTTAGCCACCGTGATGATGAGAGAGAGACACCCCGAACTCCAAATATGCTGCAGGTGTCAGGGTCGCGATCGAACCCACAACCTCCTGTATACCAGGTGAGGAGGTCAACATCTCTTAGCCACCGTGATGATGAGAGACACCGCGAACTCCAAATATGCAGCAGGCGTCAGGGTCGCGATCGAACCCACGACCTCCTGTATACCAGGCGAAGAGGTCTACATCTCTTAGCCACCGTGATGATGAGAGAGAGACACCCCAAACTCCAAATATGCAGCAGGTGTCAGGGTCGCGATCGAACCCACAACCTCCTGTATACCAGGTGAGGAGGTCAACATCTCTTAGCCACCGTGATGATGAGAGACACCGCGAACTCCAAATATGCAGCAGGCGTCAGGGTCGCGATCGAACCCACGACCTCCTGTATACCAGGCGAGGAGGTCAACATCTCTTAGCCACCGTGATGATGAGAGACACCGCGAACTCCAAATATGCAGCAGGCGTCAGGGTCGCGATCGAACCCACGACCTCCTGTATACCAGGCGAAGAGGTCAACATCTCTTAGCCACCGTGATGATGAGAGAGAGACACCCCGAACTCCAAATATGCAGCAGGTGTCAGGGTCGCGATCGAACCCACAACCTCCTGTATACCAGGTGAGGAGGTCAACATCTCTTAGCCACCGTGATGATGAGAGACACCGCGAACTCCAAATATGCAGCAGGCGTCAGGGTCGCGATCGAACCCACGACCTCCTGTATACCAGGCGAAGAGGTCAACATCTCACCACCGCGGCACCCCAGTCCTTATTACTTTCCTTTCTGGAATCCATTCTCGATATGTGTCCAAACCATCGCAAATGTATTATCTTACATTGTCACCAACACTCATTAACTTTCGGCCCAGTTGTTTTTGACCAGTTTTAAAAATAGATTATATATGTGTGTGTGTGAAGCTACGGTACATAGAGATTGCGTGAAATACTGACAGCATCTCCCAGTAAACGTGCAAACGTCGGGCCAACGTTGGCACTCGGTCGCATGGGTTGGTGCAACGTCGCCTACTTGTTAATCAGGGGGGGGGGGAAATTGCACAAAACCTCTCCCCCTCCCACCCCACCCCAACTCCAAATCCTTTTAACAATTATTTTATCGCTTGGCACTGGTCAATAATATATCTCGCTTATCAGAGGCTAAAGAGAGCGCACTTTGTTAAATATTGGCACAGAGAAAACGTGATGTGCTTTTTTTTCGCTCAACGAATGGCTCCTGAGAGCCGAGCAGGTTGAGCGAACGACTCAAGAGGGCGGCGCGGCGAAGGAGGAGGAGCCACAGAAGAGGCGGCAGCGACGCGGTGAGCCAGCGCCAGCATTTCAAGCCGCTCCAAGCTCTGCAGCCCTCTATGCGGGGTGCTTAAAAACAAATGTGAACACTTCTGAGAATTTGCAACAATACAGAAATGTGCCTCCGGGCTCTGGAGACCACCTGAAGAAGATTCCAGGCACGCGTTGACAATGCTGGCGAACAAGTGGGAGACCCTTTAACTTTTTTAAGCCATTAACTTCACATTTGTTATCATGTTGCAGTGTATTACCCGTTGTTTTTCCATTAAAAACGATAGCCCCATAAAAGTGTTAACATTTTTTTTAACGTAACCTGCACATCGAGTTGCTTTCGTTGCCAATCGACGAGCGCTTCCGCGTGGGAGGAAACCGGAGCACCCGGGAGTAAACCCACACTCGTGCGAGGGGGAAACACTCTATCCCGTACGGAGGGAACAGGTGGAGTCCACAGTCGCCGTACCGCCGCCTCCTGGCGAGTCAAACCATGGCACCTCATCGATGCACTTGTGCGATCCGCCAACCCTCGCTGCCTCCGCTGTGTGCTGGATTACGTGCCACGTGCATAGCCACCACTATTGAGCCTTCACCATCATCACCACCACCACCGTCGTCGTCGTCGGCGATCGATCCACTGCTCAATGAAGGCCTCGCCAAGCCATCGCCATTCCATAAGCAGTTCGAACGACGATCGAAATTCCAAATTCCCAGCCCGGGGCGCCGACCCTTGCCGTGGGACGACCCGCTTCTCCCCACGTCGATGAGGATTATTTAGCCGCTCCACTCTGGCTCGTGAACGCTCCTCCGGCGGGAGTGACTCGACTCCAGGTCGCACGTTGAGCCCGCGCGATCTTTGCTCGAGACACAAAATCGACGTTTTCTTTAGGCTTTTAAAAAAAAGAAAAACGTCCCGACACGATTCGTAGCGTTAGGCACCCACGGTACTTTTGCATCGCAAATCCACTGCCGGATGAGGAGGGCTTACTTGACCATACTTTGCCATGTGTGCCCCGTGCACTGGCGGGGAGAGATGGAGGCAGGGAGTGTAAATGTGGGAGCGTACGAGTACAGTACAGCAACGTGTTCGTTGTTGTTTGTTGCCGCGCTGCCCACTATGCTCTGCCGTGCGTGGCGGTCACCCCGCACCGAGCGCTCACCAGGCCCAAGCCTGCTTAGCTCGCGGGATCTGTCGAGACCGGGGGGGGGGCGCATTGCGGGCGGCTTAGCCAAAGGCCAATTTAAAATAGCGAATGTAAATTGTGAAAAATAAAAATTGTGAAAATCCATTGTAATATTTCACGTCCGAAGTTTCAATTTAGAAAGAAGAAGAAAAAAAACCCTCTCGCGAATTAGCCGACGCGTTTACCCACCGCCGGCGGTCTCTCGTCTGGCTTCTGCGCTCCGCTCGCTACGGCATTGTCACAGGCGGAAGCGACGGGGCAAGGCGATGAGGTAGACAGCACGTGGGTCGGGTCGCCATCTGTATGCCTAAGGGATCAGACTTATCTTATCTTAAAATAACTTACATGGCGCATTATCCAAGGCCCTTTACAGAGAATTACCAGTGGTGTGACGTATGAATGTGACGGTGGAGATGAGGTTTGAATGAAAGGGGGGGCAAATCCGTGATGATGCATGAATTCGGTGAAAGCGAAATTTACGACAGCAAATGATGACGAATGGATTGCATTCATGAATGGGGTGACTGAGTGAAAGCCGCGTCATGAGAATATGAAGAGGAAACAGTGACGGTGGTGGTTATGACGGGGAGAGATTAAGGGGTCGTGGGGTGAGCAAGGGAACAAGTGGCTTGTGAGTGAGGAGCGGAAGCTTCGTGAGCGAAGGTGACCGCTTAACGCGGATGGGGAATTCTAGATTTGAAGCTTTCGTGACTGCAAGGATTCATACTCTTAGTTTTTTCGGTAAAGTCACGTAGGTAAAAAATACCCGTAAAAACTAAGTTTTTCACTATAAATCCTGTATATGCGTGGCATCGGTTTTATTTCATTATTCATTTCTGTTTTGCTTGAGTAAGAGTTTCATTTTTATCACATTGGTATTTTAAATTAAATATGAATTTTTTTTTCCTAAAAAGTGGAACATTTTGGAAAAAAAAAATTTCACGAAAATAAATTGTCACGCACAACGTGTCTGTGTGCAAAATGTCAGCTCGATTGGATCACGGGAAAAGTGGGTTAAAATACGACCGAAAGATTTGCACGGTCGTAAGCGCGCAAGCAAGCAAGCAAGTGAACTTAATATAAAGGATTTCAAAATGAAATTAAAATTAATGTATCTTGATACAGCAAATCTGGCTGTGACGGTCCCACCTGATGACGGAGACTTGTGTTGCCTCCGAAACGTCGTGATTTTTTATTTAATTTTTATGAATTTTTATTTCATTTTTTACCTACATGGTGACTTTACCGAAAAAACTAAGAGTACGCGGATGGGGAAGTTTGTTCCGGTGAAGGGGGCGCGCGCACGAGCAGAGAGAGCGAGCGACAGGGTGGATTGAGCACGAGGAAGAAGTGGAGGATAGAAAGCTGCTGTCCCGGGAAATCTGAAAGGCTTCCGCAGAACATTCAAACATTTGTTTTTGCCATTTACACGAATTTACATCCCCCCCCCCCCCCCCCGCATTATTTGCGAACAGCGCGGATGTGCAAACGCGCCGCGCGATATTTTTTCCGTTAGGATCCAGAGGCGCGGGGAAAACCCGCAGACAAGCGGGAAGTCGGCCGCAGCAATGCGCCGAAACTCCGCGGCCCTGTGCGGTGGCCACGTTTGAGCCAACTCCACGAGTGATGGTGCTTACAACCGCCACGGTTTTTGTTCCGCAGGTCAGAGGTCAGAGGTCAGAGGCGGCAACCCTCCACCAGCACGAGGCCACGGGGGCCGGGCATCCCCTGCGCAGCGCGGCGGTCGACGCAAATTTCCCTTCCTGGCTACGGAACGTACAACCAATCCCATCGATCTGGAGCAATCGCAAGGGTGGCGGCCTTCTCCTACACCCTCATGACAAACACCGCCACGTTTGACTTTTACTTATCGGCAACGTTTGCCGAGTCGTTCAAAGAATTGTGTTTTGGGCGGGGGGAGGGGGGTTTACACAATAGCCAAATCTCTCCTCGGGTTTGCCTGCCGTATAGGGCAGAGACCATGAAATAAAATACAAAATATACATTTATCGATCTCATCATCATCATAATCACACATAGGATTGCACCTTGACGGGGTTATTCCAATCTGAACGACGTCGATTCAAAAGACGCCCTTCTCCAGGACTTCACGGCGGCGCCCATTCGTCATCTTGGTCGTCATCAATCAGCCATGGAGAACCCTCCCGACAGCCAATCAGCCGCCGGCAACTCTCGCGACCCCCGTGATGTCACGGGCCGCGGGGAAACGGCGCAGTCGACCCCACGTGTCCGACGGAACCGGACAGCCCTGCGGCTGTCTAAGCAGCGATAACCCTTACGTTATATATATTTATATATATACTAACACACGCGCAACGTTAATTGCGAAAGTCCACCCCAAAACCATCGCAACTTTTCAAAGTCGCCGCCTTGTGACGATCGTATTCATAGCAGCAGCAGCAGAAGACGCGGCAGTAGCAGTAGCAGCACTGGCAGTAGTCGGGATGCATTCATTTTTAAAACCGTGGCGAGACAAAGAGATCAACGGCATACACATTCCATGCTTTAAAGCCGACGGGATTCTCGCCCGCTGTATTTTTCCTGCGGTGCCGTGCGGCGAACCGGGCGCGTGCCACGTGAAACGTCGCGAGCGTCGCACGGCGTCGCGCGACTTCGCGAAGGCCGGTCACGTGACCGCCCGTCCGTGCCTCTCGTCCCCGGGACTCTCTCTCTCTCTCTCGTCTCTCTCTCTTCGGCGAAAGCCAAGCGTGGGCCGGAACTCCGTCCCGCGTCTCCACGCGCACAAACACAAATATAGTTTCAGTCCCAACGGTACATCGCCTCTGCAAACTGACATTATCCAGCGGCGGTTGTTTCGAGCGTAAAACTCTGCACTGGTTTCCGGCCCTTCTTGGGTCTCATCAGTAGGGCGTGGGCTTGTTGAACGAATGCTGCCGGGTGATCGGGCTTTGTTTGGCGAGAAGGCCGCCCCCCCTTCTGAACAAATCGTGGTCATCTCGCCGTCACCCCAAATCAATATTTGCCTCTTGCCCGCAGCCTCTCTCACCTCCATCTCCGCATGGAGACCTCTGTATCTCGAACCTACACCTCTGCCGTGTCTCCATCTCTCATCCATGTCCACCGTGCCGCTTCGCCTCGATATTTACGCCACGGCGAGGCAACGCCATTCTCGACCAGTGGCGGAGGGAGCGGTGACGGTGGAGGCCCCGTCTGGGTGGGCCACGCCGAAACCCTCCGTTCGTCGCCCCCACGCGTCCGGCCCGCCGGGCGCCGGCTCTGGCATCGCGGCTTCAGGCCGACGGCACCGCGTTGCCTTGCGCCGGCTGCTGCTGAGCCGCGGGCGGCGCACCGCCGCCACCGCCGCCGTTGTTGTTGCCGCCGTTCTGGCCGTCGCCGGCGGCGGCTGGCGGTGGGGTGGAGTCGGGCAGCTGGCTCAGCAGCTCCTGCAGCTGCTCGGGATTGGCGAGGCTGCGCAGCGCCTGGTTCTCCTGCTCCAGATGGCTGTTCTTCTCCACGAGCTCCTTGATCTGCTCGCGGAGGATCTCCACCTCCTCGCGCACCGCGAACATCAGGTGCGACTTCACCAGGTCCTGCCGGCACACGGTGGGGAGGGGGGGGGAGGGGAGGGGAGGGGGAGGATGTGACGTCGGCTGGAGGCAGAATCTCGCCATCGCCTGGGTGGCCGGCGGAGGGGAGATGTAAACAAATCATGCTTGTGATGGTTTGGACAGATAGAGGATGGATACCGGAAAGAATAGCGCACATGGTAATGCTGCGGTGGCTAGGAGATGTTAACTACCTCGCCCAGCAAACAGGAGGTCGTGGGTTCGATTCCGACCCCGATGCCTGGTGGTGTGGATTTTTCTTCGGGTCCTCCGATTTTTTACCCTCCACATTTAGAATCAACGTGCCCCTATAGCATTTGGCTGCTGTCAATTTCCACACGATGATCATTTTTGATGGCCAGGTCGCTTCTGAAAAAATATCTATGTAGCTCAGTGAGCATTACCTGCCAAAAATAAAAATATATATTCATAGTTTTACAGTTTTTGTAGGCGGTTGTGGTGCTTCGGCTTGTTCCGTATCGGCGCGTTATTTTTTGCCGCGACATTTTCCTCTCGTGCGAATCTCATTACGATCGAATTGTGTGTGTTTGCCTCGGCGAGTCACAGAGTTCCACTTACCATGGCTTGCTCGATCTTGTTGTCAATAGCGACCATGCTGGCTCCGGGGGAGCTGAGACACACGGGGAAGAGAAGAAAAGAAATCAACGGTCACCTGAGCGACGTGAATATCTGGGCGTTGATGCGGATATGTGGGCTTCGATGTGGATACCTGGGCGATGATGTGGCGATGATGTGGATATCTGGAGTTTGATGTGGATATCTTGACGATGATGTAGACATCTGAGCGATGATGCGGATACGTGGACGATACGGCTATCCGGACGATGCGGATGCGGTGATGTTCATTAGTTGACAGTCAAATGGACATTTCTGTATGAATGTATGTATCAATGTATGTATGCATGGATGTATGTATGTATGAATGAATGTTTGTATGTATGTATGGATGAATGTATGCATGTTTGTATGAATGTATGTATGTATGATTGTATGTATGAATGTATGTATGTACTGCATGAATGTACGTTGTATGTATGTATGAATGTATTATTGTATGAATGTACAGTATGTATATATGAATGTATGTATCAAAGTATGTATTATTGTATGTATATATGAATGTGTGTATTATTGTATGTATGAATGTATGTATGTATGGGGGGGAAGGACAGGAAACTGAACACACAAAGCACAGTTTTTGATTCTCAGAGATGGAATTTAGACAATTTGTAAGTGCAGCGCAAAATGTAATGCGATGGTTTTTTGTTGTTGTTGATGTTGGGCAGTCAGTGTTGACAACTCACTGGAGTTGAGAACCCGCTTTAATCTCAACTCGGTCTGGGTGAGTCTACGGGACTCTGGGTGAGTTTATGGGTATACGTGATTCACTTGTGGCCAGGCTTGAGACTGTCAAATCACTAGAACCCGGTTTAATCACAGGCAGCTGCCTGGATTAACGTTTCAAGTTTTAAGTTTCAAGTTTCATTTATTAGGTATCGCCCTGTGAGCCATGCGGCTCTTAAGTGGGGTGCAACCCAGGATGGACCCCCCCAGCAAGGCTGTGTCGCAGTCAATAGTCCGATTCACAGTGGCCCTCAAAAGACCCTGTGAGATTATCCCTAGAGTAGAGTAGGCTGCGAGCGCTGCAGCCAGGGTCTGAATTTGACAAATTTGATCGATGACTCGCAAGTTCATCTTCTTGGTTCTTTCGGTAAAGTCACGTAGAATGGAAATAATAAAATAATAAAATAAAACATTATAAAATTATTCTCACGACGTTTCGGCCACAACGCAAGCAGCCGTCATTCAGACGCTGTCTCCCCGACAGACCTGTTCTTCACCTGAGGACGGCTGCTTGCGTTGTGGCCGAAACGTCGTGAGAATAATTTTATAATGTTTTATTTTATTATTTTATTATTTCCATTCTACGTGACTTTACTGAAAGGACCAAGAAGATGAATCCCTGCAGTCACAAAAGCTTTAAATCGAAATTTGACTCGCAAGTTGCTTAATTGGGAAAAGCCACGAGGCAAATTTTGCTCCGACGGGTAGAAAATTTTCGATTTTAAACTTTCGTGACTGCAGGGATTCACATTCTTGGTTCTTTCGGTAAAGTCACGTAGACAAATGGTCACTTTAGCAGGGTTGGCACCTCTGATTAGCGCGGTTGGCTACGTACGGTGCGAACGAAGTTCAAAGTACGTACAGGCCCTCATGATGCTGGCCCGCAGAGTGCGTGTTTGCGTGTTTGTGTGCGTGCGTGCGCTTTACAGCTTTGGATAACCTTCGAATGGATACGTTCACCACACTTTGACCAGAGTGCTCAGCGCGGGACTTTGTTCTCGGCCAAGGAAGCCTACCTCGTGACAGTGTCAAAGCCACGACCCGTAGAGTCATTCAACCGTTCCCAACACAAGTGGGGGGGGGGGCGAGGAATGCGGAATTGAGACTCCGTCTCCAAGGCCACACAATGCCACGAAAAAATGCCACGGAACGCAAAAAATAGATTGCTCAGAAAAGGAGAGCCGTCGTATTTTTAAGGCAAAAGCTGAAGTGTCGATTTAAATCTTTCGTGACTGCGGGGATTCATATTCTTGGTTCTTTCGGTAAAGTCACGTAGAAGGGAAATAATAAAATAATAAACATAAAACAATAAAATGTAATTGTTTTATTTTTTTATTCCCTTCTACGTGACTTTATCTAAAGAACCAAGAATATAAAATTTAAAGTGTCGCAAATGTTGTTCAACTACAGCACGGGCTGCATACACGTCACTGCTTGCATAAGCACGGATCTGAAACGGATTAACTTGCTTCGGTTGCGTAACAAAACGTCTCGCAGCCCCCCCCCCTCCCTCCCCCGGTCCCCCGCCCCCATCATCGGCAGCTGTCCCTGTGTGGCACAAGGTGACTGAACGCCTGGCTCGGCGATGGGCATGCGTCTGCCAGGAGGGGCGAGAGATGCTGTTGCCCACAATTAAAGTCGCGTATGAGATTCTGCTCATTAATCAACTTGGGCACATTCTAAAGGAGAATGACGCCTCGGGTACACGCCAGAGCTGAACCCTCTGCGCGCGGCGCCATAATCGCCGGCCATCATCTCTCCACTGCTGGATGAAGGCCTCCCCCCACCTCCCCTCCCCCCCGGACGTTCTCTCGGATCGCCCTCGGAACGGCAACTTCCAATCAGGTAGGCGGTAGGGGTCACGTGACCAGGTCGCGGAACGCTCGTGGGGTAAAGAGTGGGTACTTTCCACGTCTCGCAAGATCTTTTCGGCCAGCGCGGAAGAGTAGGCCAAAAACACCCGACTTTGGGTGAACACAGAGGTCGCAACCGGGTACCCGATACCCGTACCCTACCCGATACCCGGCTACCCGTACCCGGCTGGGTACGGGTAGCCTTTTGCGACCCTGGTGCGGCCGGGTACGGGTACGGGTAGGCCGTGAGTCACTGGTGAGTAACCGTTTGTCACTCATTTCGGGTAGGGTACAGGTAGGGAACGGGTACCAGTACCCGGCCGGGTACGAGTACGGGTACCCACTTGCGACCCTGGTGCGACCGGGTACGGGTACGGAAACAAAACCCATTTGCGACCTCTGGGTGAACACCAGCGCGGGTTCAGAGCAGGGAGCGCGTGTAACATTTTACCGAGGGCAGCTGAAGTGAAATATAAATGGTCCGGGAGAGTTTGCGGAGGGGGCTTTGGATTTGGTTTGTCGACGTTAATGAAGCGGACACCGCCGTGGAGCAATGATTCAACAACACGCTCCACTTGCAATCCAGAGGTCACCGCTCCGATTTGATCTCCCCCCCTCTCCCCACCACCGCCCCTCTCCCCCGCCCGACCGCCTCCGTACGCCACGGTTACTCCGACGACGGTGGGGGTTAAAGTGCGGGCGCTGCCACCTCGTCCGCCCACTTTCCAAGAGCTGTCGAGTTGTGGGGACCCTTCCGCCAGCAGTGGCGTTTCGCAGGCAATTGCAGGGGCTGCGCCTTTTGCCTTAAAATTTGCGCTCGTGTGCCCCCCCCCCCCCTCCACCCCCTCTCCGCCACACCAAGCAAAGGTGGCACCAGCGGAGGCTTCGGTGTGCGGGGCAGCGCGCGGGTTGTGACACCGCCGCACGAATGTTGTCCCACACCTCGCTATCATTTCTGAAGCCACGTCGGGGGTATTGACCACACCCCGAAGCCAAGCGCCGTTTCAGCTCTCGAGTTTCGACATCGAACGGAGAGCTCCGGCGTTTCTGCAAATGGCGAAACAAGAATCGGCTAACCCGATACCGTTTCCTTTTCTTCCCCTCCCCCGCCCCCGCCCGTTACACCGCTACGTGCGTTCCTGAAGCAGGAGCTGCCGGCACAGTGGGGCGAAACGTCGGACACCGCGCCGAACAACGCACAAAGTGGCACGACCCCAAACCGCGACGGAGAGCCATGTAGCAGCAGCAGCAGTAGCAGCACAACCGGGGGGTGGGGGGAAACCACCCGGGCGGTGTTCTTCTCGCGACTGAAGTTGGCGCTCGGCTACGATCGCGCAAGCATGACGCCAGATCGCGTCCCGTTGCCCTCCGCCGCCGCGACGCGGGCGAATGGATGGAGCTTGCCGGCATGCTTTATTGAACAGCAGACCGGGAAGTTGCCAATTCTCTTCGCGATGCTTTGCCGTTATCAATTCCAAAATTGTGACCGCGTCACCGGCACGCAAACGGCCCAAACTCTTTCGCGACAAACAAGGCCCCCTAAACATCTAAACAACGTGACGTGACGTGCGGCTGATGGGCGTTCGTGCAACCCTTCCACAATTCCGGGTTTCGTGGTTTCCTCGTTCACCACTGAGAGGCTATAACCCCCCCTCCCTCCCGTCTTTTCACCCCCCTGTCTCCCGCGCCCCCCTCCCCCCAATCCGACCCAGCTCATTTCAGACTCTGTATAGGAGGGGGAACTACCTGGCCTAGAACAGGGGACGACTCTAGAATGTTCCATGCACTAGGAGTGTACGATTCCCTCTGTTTTCCATGAAGGGAGGGGCTCATCTTGATCCTTCCAAGCCGACCAGTGCAGTCTTTCTGGCTACGGCGTTAAAGGTCTGCGAGTGGGGCATGTCGACGTCTCGTTTGCCGTGCCAAGTCTTCGCGCTATTAAATATTGAACAATACATTGCCCGCCGTATGGCGGTCGTTGCAAAAAAATCGAAACGAGCGATGAAGTTCCCTCCGTCGAAAGATCGCCAAGAATAAGTGCTGCAAATACATATAAATAAACATTCACACGATAACACCATTTTCACACATTTCGCAGATTCCTCTACAGACATCACATGGCCACTATAAATTCCACACCAGGAATGACGTTTGCCTGCAACTCGCCCTCCCCAACTATCCGCGGTCCAAACGCCTGAATATAAATATAATCCTCGGCTCGCCATCGCCACCATTGCCACCATCGTCGTCGTCGTCAAATCAGTCGTGAGCAATCCACCGCCGGATGAAGGCATCCTCCCAATTCCACTCACGGACGAAGGCCTTCCCACACCGTCAGTCGTGGGTGCCGTTTGACCAAACTTCGCCACACTGGCCAAGTATTGGCTGGTGAATCACACCACGGGATGTCAAC